TAATCATTAATCATTAATCATTAATGATATCAAAGTTGGGAACACTCCTAATGGAGCGTTAGCCGTTAACATAGTGCTATATTGAACAAACACACGTAGAGCGTAGCTACTGGAGCAAGGGACATAGATGCGTTTCGCTGGCATCTGGAAGAGAACTATCCAGTGGTGGGTAGAATTAATGAGATTTCCATTGGACAGGGGATGCCACACGCTCAACAGAATAAAAGGTACGTTGACTGAACAAATTAGAATAGAGATAGACGTGAAAAATCGGCTGAGGCGAGCGTGCGTTGTTCCTTGTGTCAGGCGTCATGCACTGGTTCGGATATGTCATGGCCGCGCTAGAATGCTAGACTCGGTCCCGGGGACTCGGTATGCACGGTTACGTTTTGTTTGTACGGACCTGATTGCGTTGAATGTTGCGTTGAATGTTGCGTTTAATGATTGCGTTTAATGATTGCGTTTAATGTTATATGCAGATGTAGAATATTGAAGGTGCTCCTAAATATTGACAATCGTAATGTATATCAGTCGGTGTTGTTGCAGTTTCCGCGTAGACTTTAACGAGGTGTCGCAGTACACAGTAGTTTGTAATAATTATATTATTATTAAATCGTTAACGCATGTAATTCAAATAGAAATACATGTACTGAAGATAGTCCTTTCCATGGAGAATGAATCTGATAAATGCCATATAGTGTTCAGCAGTTAAAATAATAAAATTTCTGAGTGATACAGCGCTGTACAGCATGAAGGAATAATATATACAAAAAAACGTCAGCACATTCGCCATTGTAATTATATTTTCAATGTGTTCAAGGGCTTGAAGAAAGACGAAGCTAATTACAACGTTAAATAGAGCCCAGCCAACCATCGAAGAATGAGTACCTGTTTTGTTTCATAGAATATACTAGATTAGCGCAGTTTCATTAATTCTCTATAGTGGAAGCAAGATTTGAAAATCTCATGTAGTTCAAATTGTGGTTCCAAATTGTTGATTTTACCACTGACAAGGCTGTATGTGTGTGCTCAATACATTTGGTGTGTGTGAGCACGAGTGTGTGTACATGTGTGCGCGTGCGTGTGTGCGCGTTATGTGTGTATGTGTGCGTGTGTGTGTGTGTGTGCTGCGAGGCTGCGAGACTGCGAGGCTGCGTCTCCGACCACCGTCTACGACTGGAGACAGAAGACTCTTGAAGAAAATACCCCAAGAAGATACTTGGAGGTGAAATAGATGTTGTATTGGTTGGTATTGTATTGGTTGTATTGTAATGGATTAAGGTATTAGTTGGTATATGTATAATGGTATTGTATTAGTTGTATTGTAATGGTATTGGTATTAGTTGTATTGTAATGGTATTGGTATTTAGTTTGTATTGTATATGGTATTGGTATTAGTTGTATTGTAATGTAATTGGTATTAGTTGTATTGTAATGGTATTGGTATTATTGTTGTAATGGTATTGGTATTGTATGTGTATGTACATGGTATTGGTATGTAGTTGTGATCGTGACAATGATGATGAACTCTCGCTGTGTTTTGGCTTCTGCTTATTTGTATGAGTCTCTAGATACTAGTATCATTCACAACATATACACGCGCGTTTGCACTTGCACTTTCGCTTGCACTTACACGGCATGCATGCACGCACGCGACGTGCAAACACATGATTCCACAGAAAACCGCAACGCTCGTTCTGGGTTAATGTTCCAAGTGCATCGCAATCGCTATTGCAAGAACGAGAACCACGATATACGGGAGATGAATGAAGTGTTTAGCCTCACGTAATATATCATACGTGATAAGCTGCTTGTGATGGGTTGGGACATAACGGGTAGTAGGCCACGAGGTTATGTATTTGACCACGAGGTTATGTGTTTTGGCCACGAGGTTACGTGTGGCCACGAGGTTGCGTTTTTGGCCACGAGGCTACGTGTTTGCATGACCACTAGGTTATGTGTATGTCAACGAGGTTACATGTGGCCACGAGGTTGCGTTTTTGGCCACGAGGTTGCGTTTTTGGACACGAGGTTATGTGTTTTTGCCACGAGGTTATGTGTTTTGACCACGAGGTTACGTGTGGCCACAAGTTGCGTGTTTGACCACGAGGTTATGTGTATGTCCACGAGGTTACATGTTTGACCACGAGGTTATGTGTATGTCCACGAGGTTACGTGTGGCCACAAGGTTGCGTGTTTGGCCACGAGATAGACGTTTTAGATATAAGGTTTACGTGTATGGCCACGAGGCTATATGTTTGGCCACTTCCAACCTTTAAACTCCCAAACTCCTAACCTGAGGCCACAAGTACGAGTACGTATGTATATGTATATGTATAAGTATCAGTGTAAGTAGAATTATAACCATACGTACAACTCTTATCCTAAGAGTAAAGCCAACCTACTAAAATCATTATTAACCTCACAGGGCATGAAATTAGCCAAAATGTAAACAGGCCCTTAGACAAAGCTGGTAGACAAATATCAGCTTTGTGTTTATTATGCATACTCGTAATATTTCAGTATTTTATTGCTATCAGTGGAGTTCTACTTGTTTGACAGAAATTGTTGGAACATTATTTACTTCTTAGTAGTCACTAAGTAAAAATCTAGTAAGGAAATTGGTAAATATTGTTGATATAAAGGCAAAATATGCAAAATTTTGAATAGGCCGAGTGGACTGATTATATGACCGGACCAATATAAAATGACAGAAACGAAAAAGCTAAAACCTTTGAATAAAAACATGTGGAGTTGTAGCAGCATTAATACAAGGGATATGACGTGAAATGACCTAAGCTTCGAATAACGAAAAGTCGTCAACACTGGTGAGTATAGCTTCCCTTCACTTTCAGAACAGTTTTTTTGCGACTTTCGCTCGCAAAGGGCACATGTAGATATGAATAGCTAAGAGCCTTAACAACTACATTGGTAAAGATTTTTATTTTCATCCCCCCCCCACATTATATAGGTTGATATTGATGATAAATAATTGTGTTGCTTTGTCTTTTTGCTTTTCATGTTTTTTTAGGCCCCCCACAATCTGGATCACCACGTTGCCGTCGTGTGGAGGCTTGAGTACTCCTGTGACTCTAAGGGTGAGGTCAGCAATTGTATAATCTTGCTGAACCCGCCAAGGATGAGGAGTCAGACTGAGTGATCCAAACCCGGCACCCGGGATTTCAGAGTTTAGTACTTGATTTTTGGAGCAGTTTATTTTACGATTTAATAGTTGATGCTTGCTGTCAATATTTTATTGTATCATTGTTGCCAGTGAGGAGAATTTACAAGCTGTGTATGTCATGGTGGTCGAAGAGAAGGTTTTTTTGTATATTGTATTTCGCGGTCGCGTGTATTATTTTCACGAAGGTGATATCGCATAGTGTGGTGGGAGTAGGCCTATATTACCTTTGTATTGTATGTGTATTAGGAGCTCATGCTTCAAAATGTTGTTGCGGTCGTTGGTTGATATTATTGTATGGTTTTGTGTATTATTTACAAGTTTTCTGCTCAGATATGAATACGTTTTGCTCGCCGGGGATAGGAAAGTATTGGCAGTAGCAGTAGCAGCAACAACAGTAGTAGTAGCAGCAGCAACAGTAGCAACAGCAGTAGCAGCAGCAGTAGCAGCAGTAGTAGTAGTATTCGCATGTGATTCGTGTATATACATTTTAATGCTCGTGCCAGGAATCTGTACACATGGGAAGGATTGTACATAGTAGGGGAACTTTGCTACGATATTGCAGAGGCTTGACTGACTGCCCATAGATGTAACGTAGGATACTTGTTTGCGGTCTTGTAACATGAACCATGTTTGTCCATGCTGTGAAGAGTTGTTAATATCAGGAGTCTATCCATATCAATATTGATAGACTCCTGATAATATAGAACATGTCGGTTAGCAAACATCAACGTGACTTTATTGTTTATTTGTTATAGCCCGCTCACCAGAGAATAAGAACTTTGGCAGAACAGTAGCAGCAGCAGTAAGCAGCAGCAGCAGCAGCAGTAATAGTAGTAGTAGCAGCAGCACCATCACCAGCAGAAGTAGCAGCTAGCAACAGCAGCGGCAGCAGTAGCAGATACCGCAGCAGCAGCAACAGTAGCAGCAGTAGCAGCGGCATCACCAGCAGTAATAATAGCAGCAGCAGCACTAGCGGCAGCAGCACTAGCGGCAGCAGTAGTAACAGCAGCAGCATCAGTAACAGCAGCAGTAACAGCAGCAGCAGCAGCAGCAGCAGTGGTAGTAACAGCAGCAGCAGAAGCAGTAGCAGCAGCACCATCACCAGCAGCAATAACAGCAGCAGTAAGCAGCAGCAGCAGTAACAGCAGCAGCAGTAACAGCAGCAGCATCAGCAGCAGCAACAGCACCACCAGCACCAGCAGAAATAACAGCAGCAGTAACAGCAGCAGCAGTAATAGCAGCAGCAGTAACAGCAGCAGCAGCAGTAACACCAACAGCAGCAGCAGCAGTAACACCAGCAGTAACAGCAGCAGCAGCAGCAGCAGTAGTAGTAACAGCAGCAGTAACAGCAGCAGCAGCACCACCATTGCCAGCAGAAATAACAGCAGCAGTAACAGCAGCAGCAGTATAATAGCAGCAGCAGCAGCAGCAGTAGTAGTAGTAACAGCAGCAGTAGTAGCAGCAGCACCATCACCAGCAGCAATAACAGCAGCAGTAACAGCAGCAATAGCAGTAGCAGCAGCACCATCACCAGCAGCAATAACAGCAGCAGTAACAGCAGCAGCAGTAACAGCAGTAGCAGTAGCAGCAGCAATAACAGCAGCAGCGGTACCAGCAGTAGCAGTAGCAGCAATAATAGCACAGCAGCAGTAACAGCAGCAGCAGCAGCAGTAAACACCAGCAGCAACAGCAGCAGCAGCAGTAGTAGTAGTAGTAACAGCAGCAGTAGTAGCAGCAACACCATCACCAGCAGCAATAACAGCAGCAGTAACAGCAGTAGCAGTAACACAGCAGTAGCAGCAGCAATAACAGCAGC